AGTACTTTGTCGGGGGTTGTTCTAGTTGTTGCGGGGTCTATTGTCGTTTCGCTGGTTGTTAAACTAGTGCTGAGGCTGCCACTAGTACTTGCGTCCTGAGTTAGGGTTTTGTCGTTTTTCGCTTCTTTCCTTTCGTCGTTCGAAAAGCCGGTTGTCGATTTTGATAGCGAGTTCGGCGTACTAGAGAAAGTCGTCAGGTCGATCAATCTTGATGATCTCGTCCTTGACTTCGTCTTTTAGTCCTTGATAGAATATAAAGATCTTGGTTTCCTTGGTAAGGTCGAGTTGAACGCTAAGTTGTCGGAAATTAGCGGAGTAGTCTTTAGCAGACTTAGTCTGCTTAAGTTATGCTAGATCTCGTTCGGCTTGTCGCTTTTCGTCGGGGTCTTAGAAGAGTGACCTAAGCGCATCCTCGAATCCTTTAAAATTGGCGTAGATGTCGCGGGTCTCGGTAGTGCACTCGTCGAGGGTCTCGCATTTGAGGTATTCTTCCTGGATTGGTTTAAACTACTTGAGGGCCTTTCCTCGGAGGTAGGTGGCTGCGTGTACTACTTTTTCGGTTTCGTTGGTGAAATCTCCATGGTGAAAGTTCTAGTAGTTTTTGACCTGAATTAGGAATCCTTTAAGGGTCCCGGGGGTTCCGTCGTAGGTGATAGGCGTACTGAGCTTGAGCTTTTGTCGTCCTCCGTGGACGGGCGTGGTGACGATGTTGGCGGCGGCCCGGAGGGTGGTGATTTCCCCCTGGAGTTCCTAGATCTTCCGGAGGTTGGCGTCCCCCTTGATGTCTTCTTCCAGCTTCTTATAGGCCTGTCCAGCGTGCTGGAGTTGCTCGTTGAGGTTTTCCATTGCTTGTCGGTTTTCGTTAACGATTTTCTGTATGTCTTTTGTCTCGGCTTTTTGTTTCTGGATTATGCGTCGGAGCTTATCGTAGCTTTCCTTGGTGAAAGAGCTATCTCCATCGGAGTCGTACTTGAGGTCCGGCATGTCGAAGTCCTCAGTGTTGGCGGGCTCCTGCGCGAGGCTCTGAGGCTGGTTGCGCGAAGAGGATGAGGATCCTGGAGTGGGTGATTTGGCAGAAGCGCGAGAAGACATCTTGTCTATACTGTTTAGTAGTTCTCAAAAGGTGACTTACTGAACAGGAGCAATCAAAGTGTTACGGCTAGCTAACTGACAGTGGGTTTGTGTTAACAGTAAGCCAGGGATTGAGAGTAGTAACAGTCGTTCCGTGGTCCTGGTCGAATAGATCGTAGATCTTCAAAGGTCTTGGTGATCAGTCAAGGCCTCAACAAGAGTCGTAGAGTAGTCGTCACTTAGGTATAGCTGAAAGTACCGGTTAGGGTAATCACGAAGTTGATTGCTGAAGAACTAGGAAAGGTAGGACTCGAGAGGACTCGAGTCCCAACTATATACAAGTCTGGTTCCATGCTGAACACTTCCTGATCCTGGGGGACCGACACCCAGGACGTCGGTCTATCGCCATGGACCGCCCTTAGCACCGTCGGTCCTGTCCCAGGACCGCTTATCGTCCGTCGGTCCTGCTTATCGTCACGTGACCTGTATCCTAGTTCTTCCGTTCCGTGGGGGTTGTTACGACGTAACGGCTGACGGCCGTCCCTATAACCGCTGAGCCCCTGCGGGGTCGTCGTCAGTGGTTTGTTAACTGTCGGGTCGTAACATTACAAAAGTAACTAGCTAAGAATGGCTGCTTGCTAGTTTAAACATATGACATTCAGATCCCTATGGAATACTCTCTTTAACCTTATCTAAAAGTCTATTTAGTTAAAGAAGATTCTAGTCTGATTTATAAGCTGCTTTATAAGCTAGTTGACGTATATACTTACGTATACTAAACCTAGCTTATAGCTTCCTATATTAGCTATTATAGGCGACGTTATACTACTATATAACTAGCCTAATTCTCTCCCTTAGCTAGCTATTAGTTCCTCAACCAACTCAGCTTCAATATAAGCCTATACATTCTTTACTATTAAAGCCCTACTTCATAAGTACAAGTTCCCTTACTCTAATACCCTGTTATAAGGATATCGTACTATCTACGAGATTCCTACCTACCGTTCCAACAAAATATAATAATAGTTATAATATAGAAGTTTAAAACTAAAAGCTTTAAAATGTTAGTAGATACTAGTAACTTACTAGTATTCCTTAACATTAGAAAAATATATTTTCGCTCATATATACTTATTTAAAAAATCTAGGAAATTAATATTTATACTTATTAAAAGTATATAATTATATCTAAAAGAGATTTAAAAGTATTACTTTAGTAAATATAGTATAATTAAGGGTTAAAATTCTATAATAGAAACTTTTCTTAAGGGAAATTTTAAAATATTATTCTAAGCTTAAAGAATTTTTTACTAAGTATAAGAATATATAAATCTACTATATCTTACTTAAAAATTCTAATCATATTAGTTAAATATCTCTACCTATTTTATATATTAAGATATAGGCTAGGTAAATTAGTATTATAAATGTTAAACCTTGAATTTATAATACTTATTATCAATAATACTAGTATATAGCTACTTAAGTATTATAATTAAGTCTTAATCTATTTAACATATATTTATTCTCTTTAATAAGTAAAGTATTTAGTTTAATATAGAATTTCGAAAAACGGCGTTTTTGGTGTAAATGGGGTGCCCAAATGTGGGGGGTGCCCAGAAGTGGGTGTGGGACGTTACGGTACTCGAGGATAAGAGGCCGAGTAAGGTCATTACGTTTTCTTACAACAACTTCACTGCCCATATTTTTATCTTCGTCCGGGCATGGTCAACACCCGAAGGTCCGCCAAACTGTATTCGATCTAATGATTTGCATCGCATCAGTTGTCATCGTCGTCATCTCAGGGGCTGTCCCTGCACGAGATCGGCAGAATGCGGCCGTAGCTTATCTGCTCCCACCATTCATTTTCTGGTCGCCCCTGGCACAGGCAAAACTCTTCATTTCTGTTTTTGGGGTATCTGCTACCGAAATACCACTCGCGGTGGTGCTAGTTTGAGACATGGAAGCACTTTTACTCCGTGGCCGGCGAAATACACCATCGGCCTTGATGGTCCAAACTCGGACGCAAATGGTCGCCCGAAGCTCTGCATACCATAGATGCCTTATAAGGACTACAGAGGTGTCTGGTCAGGAAAGCTTCAGACGATTCAGGTTCACGGACTGTTAACCATCCCGTCTCCCGCGACCTTTTCCTAGCTTTGACCAATCTATTTGGGCGGCGAAACTTATGAAATAGTGCGCTAAGAAATCAAGACTTCTCTGAACCTCCGTTTTTTTTTTTTTTTTTTTTTCAAACCTGGCTGACGTAGACGGGTTGCAGCCAGATAGTTCGAGGTGGGATTTCTCCGACCCATGTTGTACCCGTTATACCCTAGACCCTTTCATCCCGTTCGGCAGCTAGGAAAGTTGAGAAAACTCTAATTGAGTTGCCGTGCCGCACACTGCGGGCAGAACTCTATCCTGAATGTATACAGAGCAACATGAGCCGAGTTTATTCCAGTGTTGATGTCGACTACTACTTTGACCTGATGAAGACCCCGTGGACCCTAAGTAGGCATCGTAGAATACGCCTTTTGTGAAATCACTGGCAGGTCTCAAAATTTGGTGACCTCAACACTTGTAAGGCGAAAATTTCCCAATACGTATTCGAACTGGGATCGGAGGTTATATGGTAGATGGGTTTCTTCCGACAACAGGTGGGTTAAGGCAAGTCAACCAAGCGTAAGCTAATGAGCTTGATGTTGATATGGGGAATGGGGCTCTCCACTAGATTGTTGTTTTCGAAAGAAAGAGACCAAGGATAACTTCGGGTTGGCATCCAGGCCAACAGCTGGACCCGGACCAAGCCGCTGAATCAGCGGCAGCCCGGTCCAACTTCGAAGGACGGGATTCGTCCGTGTCCCCAAGAACTCGGCGTCGTGATGGAATGTCTGAGACAGCAACGATCGACGGACCGGGTTTCCCGCCCACCACACCGACATGATTGGCTAGCGGCTTGGAGCAAGTGCCGTCCGAGACGATTTGGTTGAGGCTCGATGGGGGCTTGGCGAGGGGGGAGATCCCGCGGTGGAGATCATCATGGGCGCTAGAAAACACCAAACCCGTTCCGCTTGAACGTTTTGGGGTAGCGGCAGATGCTGTGGACGTCACCTACAGGCATTTTCGTATTCGTGCGAAAATATGTGGACGAATGGTCGGGCTCGCATTACTCGCAGAAGGGGAATCGGGGCGGTAAGAATTGCCGTGGGGAAGATGAACCCTACCAACCATCGCCACCGTCAAGTGCCGTCTGAGGGCGTGATTTCGTTCTGGAGTGTTCACCACTTCTTGGTCCGAACTGTTTGAGCTGTCACTGTACATTCAGATTTCTGTCCGTCTTTTGCTATTGATAGTCACATCAGTAGGCTAGATTCATCAATGTCTCACTCCCAAGCCAAGAATTGAGAAGGCTTTCAGAGCGTGACACACAGACATGACGTGACTACCCTTTACCTGCCAGCCTTGACTAGCGGCATGTTCGATTTGCTGTGGTGATGGTGGAACCTGACATGGGGACTGCGGTATATTCTTGCACAAATACCTATTCGCAGTGCAAAAAGGTGTGACCTATACACACACGTAGCTGTTTGACCGGCAACCTACACAGCCCCGATCGCACAGTTACCCTGAATTTGACGGCATATGCCCTGACTACAGGGTTCCACATATGTACGGAGAAGTGCTTGGCACCCGGCCGACCTTTCATAGGAACGACGGGTAGCTAAGCTGTCCGTGGCGGGCCAGGCTTTTAGAGTAACAAACGTTTAATGTTCCAAATTCGGAAACCGGAAGCGGGGAACTTGTTGAAGGCCTTGAACTATTTATTATGAGCACTTCTCTGCTTGATTTTGCAAATCTACTGCCCGTCTTACAGGTTCTAAACACCATCACAAACCACACACAGCAATATCCAACAGACGACACCCACGATGGACACGACTGGGTCCGCACGCACCCTCTTGGGCGATGCGAGGTTCAACCTCGATGCCTCCGCCAAACCCCTCTCGTATTTCCTCACCACGATCCTCGTCGTCTTCTTCGTCTATTCCTTGCAAGGCCCGAAGTTCAACACCCCCTCAATCAACTCGAAAGGCACTTTTGAACTCACCAACAGACGGCCCAAACAACGCTACCTTACAAATGCAAGAGAGATGATGTACTCATGGTTCAAGGCCAACCCTAACAAACCGGTGCGCTTGATTAGCGATATGGGCGAGACAATTGTTCTGCCTCCTTCCATGGCCAATGAGATTCGAAACGATTCGAGGCTGAGCTTCACTCAGTTCTCAGTCGAGGTAAGGTTCCATTATTGTGGTTTAGGTATCCAGGTTTTGGCTGACGAGAACCACGTTGAAAGTTTTTCCAAACCAAGTACCCTGGTTTCGAGGCTTTCCATGAGGGAACACGTGATAGTATCACTCTTATCGTCATCAACAAGGACCTTACCAAATCGCTCGGTGAGTAGAGGCATGGGAGCAAAGGTTCCCTTGAAGTCGCTGCTTACATAGTGCAACAGCCAAGGTCACCGAGCCTCTCGCAGATGAAGCCTCTCTGGCCCTCAAGGACATTTTCACCGAAAGCAAGGGTATGTAACCCAGAAGCAAACGTAAAAGATCCAACTAAAACCCTACAGAATGGCACGCAATCAACATGCGCTCCACGATATTACATTTTATCGCCCGTATCTCTTCCCGCGTGTTCCTCGGTGACGAACTCTGCCGCAATGAGGAATGGCTTACTATCACGAAAGAGTACACCATGAACGGATTTGCCTCTGGCGACCGGCTCCGAGAGTGGCCTGCTTTCATGCGCCCAATCGTTCACTGGTTTATTCCTGGTTGTCAGAGATTGCGCTCGCAGATCATTGAAGCCGCGCGGATAATCAAGCCCGTTATCGAGAAGCGCCGTGCGCTTAAGGCCGCCGCCATTGCAGAGGGTCGGAGCCCGCCTGAATTTAACGATGCCATCGACTGGTTTGAGCAGGCATCCAAGGGGAAGTACTACGACCCGGCCATCTCGCAGCTCTTTCTCTCTACTGTCGCTATTCACACCACTACCGACCTTTTGGGCCAGGTTTTGGTTGACCTTTGGCGTAACCCGGAAATCATTGAAGATCTGAGAAAGGAAATTACCGATGTTCTTCGCGAGGGCGGATGGAAGAAGACCTCGCTCTATAGCATGAAGCTTCTTGACAGTGTTATCAAGGAGAGTCAGCGCATGAAACCTCTTCAACTTGGTATGTCTTAATCCCTACTCCTACAACTAAGGTCCTCGGAATGTAAATGTTAGCTAATCGTCGAAACCCATAACAGCGAGCATGCAGCGAATCGCGGTCGAGGATGTCACACTCTCTGACGGGACCTTTATTCCCAAGGGGCAATCGGTTTCCGTCTCTTCTCATGCCCTCTTCGACCCCAACGTCTACGAGAACCCCGAAAAGTGGGACGGTTATCGATTCTATCGTCTACGTGAGCAGCCTGGAAAAGAGAACGTCTCCCAGCTTGTCAGCACCGGCCCCGAACACTTGGGATTCGGTCATGGAAAGCACGCATGCCCTGGACGATTCTTCGCTGCCAACGAACTCAAGATTGCCCTCGTGCATATTTTGATGCAGTATGATTGGAGACTTGCGCCTGGCTCTAAGGCCGACATCTACGATTACGGTGCCAACCCTTCGCTGAGCCCAGCTGTGGAGTTGGAGATTAGGAGACGTGAGGAGGACTTTAACCTGAGCTTCTGAGACATAGCGCTGGAGACGATAAGTTTACTTTATCCCAACAGCGTTTGGTTTTCAGATGTTCAATTAGACAGGCGTTAGATGGCTTGGGTTTTAGCTGCTGATTATGACTATGGGAGATTGCGAGTAATTATGTCACATAGAGAAATTCGAATCTCATTGAAGCAACATTTGATAAACAAGTTGTTAGTATTTCTATGGAACCCAATTGAAAATAGCCAAGCCACATAGATCGGACAAGGTTTTCCGCAAGCTTGACATTGTCATAATCATTGGTGCGAATAGTAGTCACATGTACCCCAAGCAACCCCAATTTGAGCCGCTACCGAGACAATTGGCAGCATTTGGCGCCTCGCAGCACCCGTGTCGTCATTGGAGACAAACGTCAATGTTTTACATGCCGTGCGGGGTTAAGAGAGGAGGCCATATCGGCTATTTAAACGAGATAGGCTGCATGGAGTCTAGGAAGAAAAGGCAGAATTGTATCAGTGATCACTCACTCAAGCATCTTATCAGGGTCAAAGCATCTGATATTTATGATATAGGACTTCGTCATATAGTTAAAAGCATGGCCCATAACCTGCCATTCGAGGTATGGTATTTAGTCCCCCCATGGTATAGTACTTTACTAACGTACACAGCTACGTAAACCAGAGCTTCTTCAGACGGAAGCTTATGTTCATGGTTCCTGGACAAAAGCAACCTCGGGAAAGACGTTCGACATTGAAGATCCAGGAACTGGCAAGGTGTTTGCGTCTAGTCCAGACTTTGACCGTTCGGACATTGATGCTGTTGTAAAATCGGCGCATGAAGCTTTTCAAACATTTCGCATCGAAAATCCCCGATCGAGGGCTAAGAAGCTACTGGAATGGGATCGGCTTATCCGCGAAAACCGAGATGATCTAGCGACAGTATTAACCCACGAATCAGGGAAACCCCTGGCTGAGGCTCAAGGAGAACTCGACTACGCGCTTGGCTTCACATGGTGGTTCGCAGGAGAGGCTGAGCGTATCCGCGGAAACGTATCAACACCCTCGGCTCCCAACCGACGGGTGCTAGTGTTAAAGCAGCCTATCGGTGTGACTGTAGCTCTGGTTCCATGGAACTTCCCTATTGCGTAAGTATCTACAACAGGCACCCGCACCAAACTGTCGCTAAGATGAAGACAAGGATGATTCTACGCAAAGCCGGAGCTGCCTTCGCGGCCGGCTGCACCATGATCGCGAAACCATCCCCGGAGACCCCGCTCACATGCCTTATGCTCGCGAACCTGGCCACCAAAGCTGGCTTCGGTCCCGGCGTCTTCAACGTTGTTACAACGTCGTTGAAAAACACCCCCGAAGTAGCCGAAGCACTCTGCAAGCACCCTCTTACTAAGAAGGTTTCGTTCACAGGATCTACCGCGATCGGAAGCCTGATAGCCAAGCACTGCGCCGAGGGCCTCAAGAAGGTGACGCTCGAGCTTGGGGGAAACTGTCCCTTCATCATCTTTGACGACTGCAATCAGGATCAAGCACTAGAGGCGCTGCTCGCGCTCAAATGGCGGCATGCAGGACAGGCTTGCATTACGGCTAACCGGGTTTACGTGCAAGACAAGATATACGAAGCGTTTTTGGAGAAGTTGGTGGAGCGCACCAAGTCCATCAAAATGGGACACGGAGCCAAGGACGGCACGACCATGGGACCCCTGACAACGCCTCGGGCAATTCCAAAGGCGCAAGCCCACATCAAAGACGCCGTCGGCGCTGGCGCCAAAGTGGTTCATGGGGGCCGGGCGGGAACTGAGGTAGGGCTGGAAGCTGGCTATTTCCACGAGCCCACAATTCTGCGTGACATGAAGCAATCCATGTTGATCAGCCGAGAAGAGACATTTGCCCCCGTTCTTGGAGTATATCGCTTCGCGACTGAAGACGAAGTGGTAAAGTGGGCGAACGATACTAGCATGGGCCTTGCCAGCTACTTCTTCACAAAAGACATGGACCGTACCTGGCGATTGATGGAGAACCTTGACGCGGGAATGATCGGGATGAACACGGGTAATTCATCAGCTGCTGAATCTCCCTTTGGTGGCATGAAGCTATCTGGGTATGGCAAAGAGTCAGGCAAAGACGTGGCAGTTGAGGAGTACTTGGTTTCCAAGACTGTCACAATGACTCTGGAGGGCCATCATTGAGCCGAAAATGCACCTTTTTATTCATGTCGTCGCTTCTAAATCAGTCTAGTTACCCATCCAATTGTCTAATCCTTAATCCGCACTGGTAAGGTATCATTAAAACCCCAGGGTGATGAAATTATGTTGGTCCGATATTGCCGTCTACTCCCTCGATCATTGCTTGCTCTAGAAAACTCCTCCACACTGCGATTCAGCACCACGGATGATGATGAACCCACTAGGAGCGATGAATGTACCGCATCGTCCATTATCACATACGCCTTGCTTGCTGTCCAATCCACAAGGCCGGCCGTTGGCTGCTAGCTGCATAGCAGTTGGTTGTGTTCTCTTGTTGAAGTCCTTGTACTCTCGAGGGAGCAGGATTAGAGGGAGTGCTTCTGCCTTGACAGGTGCTACAAGGCTGTCAGTTTCGATAAGAATGCATAATCGAGCTGGGTTCGTCATTACCTGCTAGAGAAGCCTCTGCTAAAAGTGATACAGCGAACAGAATGACAGAAGGACGCATTTTGTGAAAGTTTGGATATCAGTGCTCAATTGATCATTGATATGCGTCAGGTTAATCTTTTCGGAGATGAATTTCGCAAGTGTAGAGTTCTTCGTGTCAATCGCGGACTACGCAAGTAGTAATATCGTCGGTAATATTGAATTGGAAAAGTACCACTGCGCTGGGAATTCTTCGACTTTTGATCTACGCCTTCCCAGGAAACAATGGGGAATTCCGTGGAGGCGGGGACTATTTGATACTTGTTTTGGGTTCGGAACATGGTTACCGTGAGACATTGACAACTGCGGATACTCGGATCTACGCAACTTTCAGGTCTATCCATCATGCGCTGCGTTGAATACCTGGCCCTGGTCTATCATCCGACAACTGCCACGCAACCAAACGAGGATACCCTGGACCACAGGGGTAATGAGCACGAAGCCAGCTCTCAGGTTCGCGCACGCAGCTCTGACAGTAGTCGCGATACGTGATTGTATTATCGCAAAATAATTACGCATTGTAAAAGAACTCCAATCTTTGCATAAGCCCTCAGTGGTACCGTCCTGTGATGTGAATGATGGGCTCCATGATCTTGAGCGCATCTCTAACTGCAACTACGCACTGTCTCAAAAACCGTCCCAAGTTACTGGGCACTGAGGTTACAGACATAGAAAACGTTTGGGAACTAATTCAAATTGATTGAGGATACATATTGAAAATTTCTCAATTCAGTACCTAATTGTTGAACAGTTTTACGCGTACAGCCCAAGTTGTACAACTCCAGGATGCATTCGACTACGTGACTGACACATTCCTGCATCTATTGCCAACACTTCCATCTCTTGTAGCTATAAAACTATTTTGAACATTTAGCTCCGTTGTTTCCCACATCCTTTCTTGTGTTTTCTTTTTCTTTTCTTCTTCTTCAATTCAAAATCCTTCAATGTTGCTACACCGTCAACGTCTGCTGCATCTTGTGATAGCAATGTTTTTCCAAAGACCAATCAGCATGGGCGGATATAACCAGGCTTGATCCTCAAGACCGTACTCAAAACAGCGCTTAGGTAAGTCTGCTGCTGCTGCCTGCAGAGGGGTATTCGCCCCACTTAAGGTACTCTACATTTCTAAGAAAAAGGACGCTATCCTTACCGCGCAGCTTATGTGTACCTGAATGCGCGATGTTCAATTTCATCCAGAAACATGCGACTTCCTCTAGAAATCGTGGAGCAGGTAATTTCGCCTACTGGGGAGATAGTAATATGCTGTTAAAATAAGTTGCTAATAGCGATAGGTCTTTTCCCACTATGTCGTGGCAGTGCCGTCTAAAGAATTCCAGAGTATCGCCTCCCTGAAGGAATGGTTAGCTTTCACCGCTTTCACCGACCATGCCGCCATCTTGTCTGGGAGGAACAATGACTGGCACAAGACAGCTTTCTTTTACACAGATATCCAGGATCTCAAGAGTCTGTTGAACCTACGCTTGGTGTCACGCCAATGGAACCTCTCTGTGGCTCGACTGCTCCGGAAGCACATGTGGTGGAACATTCGACTACACAATGAAGCCTGCTGTAAAACAATCATAGAGTGCTGTGACACTAAAAGCGACACAATGGGAGAGTCGATCAGAAAACTAAGCCTCGATGATATGGATGACCTACAAACATTCGAGCGTACGTACTCGTACGACCACGCAGAGTAAGAAATCTCCTCTCAGGTTCTCTTTCTTCCATTGAAGTGGCCGTCTATTCTGTCATTATCGAGCTTTGAGATTTACTAACCATGCGCTTAGGCATTTTGGTGAAGATGTCGACGATAATTTTATCGTCTTGAACTCCACCTCGGTTGACGTACTTGGGCCGCGCGATAAGTCTACAATGCGAGTAGACTGCAAGTTGCATTACGACAAGTCCAAAGAGCACGCTATGGTCCGGCGTCTTTTCGATACCCTCACCTGCATTGAGGACTTCAGTGTTACGTTTCCTGGGGCTAGCAGCCGCCCAGAGCTAATAGGAGAATGTTACGACATGGAGGGGCTGGACGAGACTATTTCTACTCTTCAATATGGGCTCAAGAGCTCGGCTTTCCAATACCTTGTAAAGCTTAACCTTGCAGTCCCATGCACCTGGCATGTTGGCCAGCTAGCCAGTGTTATGGTGCAGGAGGCGCGAGATCGTCTGAAGGATCTAAGAGTAGCCATCGTGGATGAGACTGGGCCAGGAGGAAGTCCGTGGTACTTCATTATAGACGATGACTACAACGACGGCGACCTCACGGACATCTTGAGTTCCGGCTATGGACCAAGCAATCTGCAGGTTGCCTATCCGAACAGAGAGCATCAAGACTCTCTTTGGAAATTCGTGTCATCATGCAGAAATCTCGAATCACTGGCCATCGAGGCTTCGCATTATCTTCATCTAGATCGGCTCGAGTGGAACCCGATTTCTAATATGAGGGGTTTGAGAGACCTCTCACTTTATCGACTCTGGACCAATGTATCAACACTGCTGAAACTGTTGTCTGCTTCTCCAGGATCAAAGCAGTATCCCAGAGCCCGTCGAGTCTTTCTCAGGGACGTCAAAATTTATGGCGGCGGTGGGAATTGGGAGGAAGTGTTCAAGCATTTGAGGACAAAGTGCCCTGATTTGGAACTCTTTTTTGCTGAACAGCTGACGTATTTCACCAACCACCCGCGACACCTACACAACAATAGGCCATGGGAGAACTATAATAGCATATGGACGGAGCCTGAAGACGAAACAAATCTTGATTGGAGTTCACTACGGAAGCTGAACAGAAAAATGGTTAACAAAGCTGGAAAGAAAGATTACTATCCTCTCCGGGTTTTTGATTCCGATATGGAGTCTGAAACAGATGAGCCACCATATTGAAGCGCAATTAGAACGAGGTCAGCAAAAAGGGGGGGTGGAAATTTTCCTGTCGTCTTATTGTTACTATTACTACAAGCACTTTATACAATTCTATTGATCAAGTGAGGACAAGGCCAGTCCGTGATGAGCGACTATACAATGTTGCTGGGTTTGGAAGTTGGACCCAATCCAAACTCTGTATCGTTCGTCTTCCTAAGTTCAAGGTTTTGTACTAGAAACGACAGCAAAAACCCCAGGACAGCAAAGCCTATCGCCACCTGCCACACCAACTTCAAACTCTTGACGTAGAGGTCAACAATCACATCGTATACTTCAGGTGTCTTACGAAAAAGGTCCAAAAAGGCTTTGGTAGCGTGCTCATATGCACCACCCTTCAATAACAGTGTTCGAAGGCTCTCATCGGGAAAGACCTGAGCCATTTGATCTGCGCGTGTGTTGAAAACTGCCGCCGGGATTGCGATGCCCCAAATAGACCCCAAATTGCGGATGAAGATCCATGTGGCAGTTGCTACTGCGACATCCTTGTCGGATAAGCCTGCCAACAGTGCAGGCAGAAAGGTTGTGAATAGGACTCCAAATCCGAAGCCAAAGAGCACTTGGAAGCCGACCGAATATCCCAAGGAGGAGTCTGCGTCTAGCAGGGTGAAGAGTCCCAAAGCAACTGCCGTAATAGCCCAGCCAACGAAATGCCAAGGTCGATAACTACCCGTGACGGTTGTCAGGACACCCGCCAGAAGACCAGCTGGTGCTCCGACAGTGAGAACGGGCAGTATCAAAGTAGCAGACCTCATTGGAGATGCATTCTGAACTGCTTGGAAGTAAACTGGGAGGAAGTAGCCTACCCAAAAGAGAAGCATGCCATGCAGAAAGCTTGTGAGGTATATTGTCGCAGACGTCTGGTTCTGAAAAAGACGTAGGGGCATGGTAGGCTCGGCCAACCAAGAGAGAGACTCAAAGTAAACGAAGCCTGCAAGGCCCAGAATGCCCGCAACCAAAGGAACGATGGTTCGCCACGAAGACCACGCATTCTTAGTACCAGCCCAAGTGAGCGAAAGCAGAAGAGAAGCTACAGCCATGATGAGTATGGCATTTCCAAGCCAATCGATGCGACGTAGGCGGTGGAAAAATGTGCCCTGGTGCGGATACCGCTGTTTGAGGAGAACCACGGGCACCAGCACCACCGCCGAGATGGGGATGTTCATGTAGAAAATCCATCGCCATGTCGCACGTTCTGCCAGAACAGCGCCGATGATGGGAGCAGCAAGACATGCTATGGTCCATGAAGCAGCCAGAGCTCCAGCATACATGCCGCGCTCCCGAAGACTGACGAGATCGCAAATGAGAATTTCTGGCATCACAACGCAGCCGCCGCCTCCAATACCTTGGATACTTCTTCCGATAATGAGCGTGACTGTGCCATTTGCGGAACCGCAGATGGCGCTACCGACAATGAAGAGAAGTACAGCCAGGATGGTGAGGATGCGACGCCCAAAGATGTTGGACGCCTGTCCGAATATGGGGCCAAAAGCTGTTGAAGCCAAGAGATAGGAGTTGATGACCCAGACATACAGCTCGCCGGAGTTGAGCTCGTACATAATAGTTGGAAGTGCTGTTGAGAGAATAGTCGCATCAAGGGCCGCAAGAAACTGGCAGAGTCCTATGGCGAGAAACATTGTCCAGAAGCGGATGTCTTTCTTCATTGGGGCGTCTTGATTGTTGTTGGATTCGGCATCATAGCTTGTCGATACTGGCTCACCGTCAGGTGCTAATAGTTTCGAATCTTGATTTGACTTTGTAGGTGTCTGCGCAGGGTCCAACGAAGGTTCTATCTTATGCTGTTGGCGTGACATGGTGCAAGCAAGGTGGTGATAATAATAAGTCTCAGGATAAATAGTGCCAAGATGGTAGAACCAGCAAATTTTGTAATGGTGACATTGAACTTAGTATATTGAATCTGAAGTTCATGAGGCCTCATGCCTATGAGAGTAGCTTCTTTTATATTTCTTATATTGCTGATGGTATCGGTCACATCGCCAGCCATACAATGGTCTAGGTACGTCGAGCCATGTGGTAGGGATCGGGAATAACCCACCGCATCCTTCCACCACCAATTCTCCCTAAGTCTCCCGCATCCCAAAGGACCGTGTGCTAAATCTGGATAAAACATGTTTTTCAATGGCGTTTGATTGGATAACTATCCTGGAAATTTATGTATTGATGGACTGATCACTAACAGTGCTTCGACATATAAATGCAGCCTTGCCGCTGTGCTCCGGGTTTCTCCTTCAACGGAGTAGCCATGTATGTAGTCTGCAATCCTATTATTGAGATGCTCCAACGGGCAGTAATTTTTAAAAAGATGTGGGATAACAATGCAAGATCTTGGAGCAGATTTCTTAGAGCTGTGCATTCGGCCCAACGACCAGACCTTGCCGATTGAAGTGGACTTTTTGACCACTTCGCAAGCTTTCTTGCAAGCCTCCCGCTATGCGAAGGGACGTTATTGCAGACCTCAAAGGGATAGGCATCTCTTGGCCATTTAAAATCGCGTCCACGAATGCGTTTGCCTCGACAACAAACGCAGACATGTATCTCTCATACCAGGACGCTGTGGGTTCGACCTTCACAACACCATCACTGTCACAGATTTCCACACGGTTTCTCCTTGGCGTGGCGTTCACCGTCAGTTTACCAGCGGTTCCAAAAATCTCGGTGACGTTGTCATAACCGACGGCTGAACTTCTCGAATGGTAAAAGTGAGCCATCTTTCCGTCCCAAAACTCGCACACTCCAATTGCGTTATCTGCATCCCCTGTTTTCTTCAGGTCTGGGAAGAATTCAGCAGTGCCGATCGCCGAGACAGATTTAGGAACAGAATCCTCGCCCAGGAACATCAAGGCGAGGTCGATATCATGGATGGCGGAATCAAAGTAGATGCCGCCCGACTTGGCGAGGTATTGATGAAAAAAAGGGCTCTGGTCGAGCTTCTCGGCGCCATGAGACCTGAAAACAAACGGTTTCCCGATAGTGCCTGACTTGACATTTGCGTAGGCATCTTGGTAACTATCATCAAAGCGGCGGACAAACGCCACCATTACTTTCGTCTCTGGTTTCGCTTCCACACGCTCGCATAGCGCTTCCAACTTGTTTCAACTCTGGTCAGCATCCAGAAAAGAACTTGCAAAATCATGAGGGGGGAGATCTTACCTCTGAAAGAGAGTTGCAGATGGGTTTTTCGCACAGAACATGAATTCCCTTTTCGAACGCGGCGAGTGTCTGTGGCATATGCAATTCCGTGATGGAGGAGATGATGACGGCTTCCAGACCGGGAGTCTCAATCATCTCCTCAAACGTTTGATACACCTTGACTCCATATGGTTCAAGATTGATAGATGCCCAATCGAGATCGGCTTGTGCAGGAGAACAGGCACAAATCAGCTTTGCTCCAGGTACTAAACGAAGAACATTGAGAGCATGACGTTGACCCATTCGGCCAATGCCCACAACACCAACCTTCAGAACTTTAGGCGGGGATGACATGGTTATTGATTCTCACTGCTGTCAAGAAGGAAAAGGGTTAGGGTGTGGCTTCGCCAAGAAAAGTAAAATCTAAAAACTTGTAATGCAGTAAGTCACTTTTTGCAGTGAGATCGGTGGTTGAGGGTTGTTAAATGGTTGTGCTAAATCCCGATAGTAGCTGATTGCCGGGAATTTATTGCCCTTTTTAGCGGATGCAGGCAGCTCCGGCGAAAATAATCGAAATGCCAGTGACGTGCCGCCGAATCTTTGAACGACGTCACCGAGATAATTCCGAATATGGAAATCCTAGGTACCGGAACGCGGGGAGACTGGAAGAAAGTGTACATATGAGCTGGAAACCAGCAAGCGCATGGTTCGGGATTCAAATTCCGACCGACACTGTTAATCCAGCATCTTATTTATTAAGCAAAGACTTCTTCTCCTCTCGCACTTCAATTTCCGTTCAAAAACACGCCTATAGTCCTTAATCTCAGCCAATCAGATCAACATGTCGGAATTACCAGCGATTCGTTGGGGTATCATTGGTAGTGTTATCCCGCAAATATAGTCATTATTACACTGTTTCCCCCCACTAACTGTGAACAGCTACGGGCATGATCTCTTCTTGGTTCGTGGAGGACCTACTGATTTCCAGGCCCGATGCAAAGGTCAAACATATCGTGCAGGCCATTGGAAGCTCATCGACCGAGAAGGGAAAAGATTTTGCAAAGAAGTTCTGCCCCTCAAGCAGCCCTTCTATTTACGGGTCGTATGGCGAAGTTTATGGGGACTCGGATGTGGATATTGTCTACATTGGAACCCCGCATGCATTCCACAAACAAAACTGCTTGGATGCGATCAAAGCCGGCAAGCCTATCCTCTGTGAGAAAGCATTCACGCTGAATGCCCGTGATGCGAGGGAGGTTTTCGCCTTCGCGAAAGAAAAGCAGGTGTATGTTGCAGAGGCCATGTGGCTACGCCATCGTCCTCTCGTTCAGGACTTGCAACGCCTCCTTCACAAAGAAAAGATCATTGGCGACGTCTTTCGAGTGTATTCTGAGTTTGGTCTCGAGATGGACATTCCCAACCTGCCTGATGATTCACGTTACAAACAGCCTTATTTAGGTGCTGGTTCGCTGCTTGATCTGGGCATTTACACTCTGACATGGGCCATTCTCGGCCTGGACCCAGGTACTCCGGCAAATTCTGAAATGCCCAAAATATTTGCTGCTCAAACACACTACGGGGATGTTGAAGTGACTAGCAGCGTAATTCTTCAGTATCCTTCAACTGGTAGGCAAGGAGTAGTCACATCTACCACGATGGCAACCGGAAACCCAGATGTGTTGGCACGCATCCAAGGGACCAACGGAACGATCGAAGTCCAGGGTACCGTGCCATCCGATCCCGAAGCTTTCACAGTCTATCCCAAGTTCTGGAGAGATCAGAATAAGGGGATTGTTGGAAGAGACTCTGGCAAGAAGTACGATTACAAGCCCATTGGACGAGGTTACTACTGGGAAGCCGATAATGCTGCCTTGGATGTTCTAGCAGGACGCTTAGAAAGCAGTGTTATGCCGTGGTCGGAAACCATTCGTGTCATGGAGATAATGGATGAGATCCGAAGGCAAGGTGGCACTGTATATCCTCAAGATACAGCATAAAGACCAGATGTTGGTCCTTCCAGCCAATATCTTCGCAAATCATATGACTACATCCAAAATGAAACTCCCTGTTAATATTAGGTTCGAAGGAATGATGTGATAGTGAAGCAGCACTTAGAGACTCTATCATACAATAAAGGCTACTGAAAGTTTGCAACTAATATTCAAATCCAAGTATAACTTGAGGAGTGTTTTAGAATATTAAGTCCTTTTATAGCAGGACTTTTGAAGACTTTAATAGTATTAAAAGCCTCTCTAAATTTACTTAAGCTTGCAAAAGAAAGACTGTAAACCAATCTAGTTAGCCATGGTATTACTTTCTTGTACAAATCAAATATTTCATAGAGACCTCTATGGATGAGTGAGTCACATGATCTGAAGATTCACACATTTAGTTTACTGCAGAGATTGGAATAAAATAGTCGATTAAAACCGGAGGACTCGTAAAGGGTTGCTCACTCGCTGCACAAGACGGACGTACCCACAAACCAATGAGATTCAGATATCGACAGGTTGCAATGCATCAAGTTGTTATCAAATAATCGTAAATTGGCAGATTTGATTAAACATGACCAGGTGAGTTTAGGAATATTGAGAACCTATGAGATAACATTTCCCATTTCACGCTTACAAATCAATGAAGTCTACTACTGGATCAACAGGACAAACTTGTCCCATGTATCGACACTCTTCCAGACTTTCAGGACATTAAGCTCAAATTTGGCCTTCGTGACGGTAAGGCACTTGCTATAATGCAAAGCATCATCTGAAAGAGCAAACGACAGCAAGCAACAATTTGCACCTGTAATCGCTGACATTGTGCTGGTCAAACATGGAAGCTTAATCTTATTGTCATAGTAGTGCAATCGTCATCCCCAAGATTTCGTCAATAAGTAATCCATTTTTACTTGATCAGAGACCTTATCACGGTTGTTTTCTTATTAAGGCATTTATTGGTGTGTAACGGCAACGAGGTCTTGATTTGGTCCTAGTTAAAGATGAACAAATATTGTTATACTTGTATTCTAGTCGGATGCTTAATTGCCGATGCAATTCAAATGATCTGTAAGCAATGATCAATTCGCAATACTCATTCAAAGACCCACCGTTTTCGACTTTTGGAGTGCCCAGTTCCGTGGGGGTTGGTCCTTTATCGGCGTCGGCGGAATTGACAATATGCTCCAAAGATTGCGCAATGCAGCAAAATGACCTGATAGGCAGCATCCATCAAATGATGGATCGATGCAACGAGAAACCATAAAATGACACGCAGGCCGCAAGTAGGTTTGTTGGGCATAGAAATAGCTTATGCCAAGTCATTCCGGTCGAGTGGCAACCCCATCTCATCGTTGCATCAACCCAGTATATCACAATCTAAACGTTTATCAGCCTATCCACCATGGCGGCGAAAAGCGAAACCAATATAAGTCCTCTCAAAGTCGCCATTATTGGCGGTGGTCCCGGTGGACTGGGTGCGGCGATCGAGTTTAACAAATTAGAATATGTCGATTGGAATCTTTATGAGAAGAAGCCTGAAATTAGCGAAACTGGCGGCGGCATTAGCCTTCAACGCCATACATGGAGGCTTCTAGAACTGATTGGAGCAGCCAAGAATGTAGATCCAAATGATTTCTTCAGATCTCCAGACGGGACGAGCGGGCAAACAAGGTGATACTCACCCAGTTCCATTGCAAGGATGACAAATTGACCCCGAAAACAGAAATGGAAGAACTGGCAGACTCCTGGAGCAAAGCAGTCATTCCTCAGACGTACCCCTCCAACAGCGGAGTTGCCGGATGGTCCGGGCCAAGTTGCAATCGGCATTGCTTCAAGATGTTGATCAGTCTCGAATCCACGTCTCGAAGAAGTTGACAGATATTGTCAAGCTCCCAAGTGGCAAAATCCAAATTAGTTTCGCAGACGGCTTCACAGATGAAGTTGATTTACTAGTTGGCGCGGATGGTATTAGATCGGTACAATTTCCAACAATCTGTCTGATCAAGTTCAACGTGTTTTACTAAAAGCATCGCAGTTTGTAAGATCTTTTGCTTTCCCGGAACACAAAATCAAATACAACGGGCAGTCTGCGTACCGTACCATCATCAATAAGCAAGCTGCCTTTGCCATCGACGGCATTCCCAAGTCCCCTGTTTTCTGGCAAAACACTGGGGGCAAGTATGTCTTCACTTGCCCCCTCGGCGGGGATGACTTTGAGGTCACAGCACGAATTCGCCGACCAACCGAAGGCCAGGAGCACGTCAGCTGGGGTCGTCCTTTTGACTTTTCGACTATCGCTTCGGAGTATGACGAGTTCTGCGAGCCGGTTCGTAAAGTGATCCAGCTCGCAGCGCAAGGAAAGACAGAGGAGTTCGCCTTGTTTTCAGGCCCACGCTTGGATAGCGTAATTTCACACGATGCGCTGGCCTTGATCGGAGACGCGTCCCACCCACTCTCCGGAGCCTTTGGTGCTGGTGCTGGGTTTGCTTTGGAAGACGTTTACGCGCTAACTCGAAGCGTTGACTTTGCTTGGAAGAATGGCGAGGGATTGAAGGCTGCGTTGCAGCTGTATGATCAAATCAGATCACCCCATTACCGCGACTTGTATGGAGTGTTGGACAATTTCGCCGTAATCAACACCAAACTATTGGCAGAACAGCTTCCAGCCGACGAGGAGATTGAGGAACGAGTTAGGCGAGCCAGTGAAAAGAAAGCTACCTGGATGTATCATTATGAGGTCGATAAGGTGGTAGAAAAGCTTGTGGGTGGCGCTAGTCAACACGGCCAGCCTGCTGCACTCCTCTAGAATCTACAATTTTTACGCTTATTTCCTCCTATTACTTTAAATTTTGCTGCTATAGAAATTGTCAGTAAACGCACATTGGTATCATTTGATTAAACCTGGTCCATCCCACAAAAGTTCCAGACCTCGACCCTCTTTCCAACATTGTGTAACACGTCTAGACAAATGCTTCAAGGAGCCACCGGAGGTAACCAGTTTGGTTGCCTTTCTTTGAAGCAAAGGGACGAAAATTTGTAAATCAGAGCAGCATTTTAATGCCATCATAGTCTACATAAGCATACTATCGTGAACTATGTGATAGGATATGGGGCACGGCATGCGTACTGAGTGCGACTGACGACTTGCATCAGCAACTAGCTATAGAGACTATTTTCCCAGATTCTTCCGAATTCAGTTTTCTAAAAAGACCATAAGGAATGCTTTGTAAAAGCGGACTTTTACGATGTCTACACAACGGAGAAGATCTGTTGAATGATTCCAGACCGAATTAGACCGGGTTACTGTAAGCGGCTTGAAATTTCGCTGCTACCAATTGAGGCCTTTCTGACGATCAAACTACACTTCCTTGAAAATCATAGACCACGTCAGTACAGTATGCGCGAAGTTTCAGCCCGTAGAGAGGAAGATGTAAGAATGTCTGAGCTCACCGTAATAAGACATTGATATCGGGACCTCCCACATCACGTGGAGCTCGAGCCGCGTAATCCATGATCGCCAAACCTGTGACACCAACGTCAAGAAACAGAAATGCGGGGACCAAGACGATTGCGAATTCGCTAGGTACCGTCAGAGCCAGAAACCCCCAGCTTTCCGTGATACAGCTCCTTGTTTGCACACTAAGCCTTGTATGTGTTTTTTTTCTCCGAGTGGCCAAGGGTTCTAAGCAAGGTTCAGGCTCCACAAAGCTCCCGCTTTCCCGTTGAGCCCGCCCTTCGCAACTCAATTCAGCCGTGAATTGAAGCTTGAAGCTATTTTACAGGCTAGACTAGTCTGAATCTTCCTTTTCTTTTACCTAAGTGGATCTGTTTACTCATGCAGTGAAAGCTGATACATTTCAATATTCGTTCGAGGTCGACGAGTGTTACGACCCGTTGGACATGGTCGCCAACACGACCCCGCCTGGATCCCGGCGGCTAACGCAGGGCATTGATTGATTGATTGATTGATTCCTACACGGTTATGAAGCCGCTCTTATGCTAGCAGCTATGCCCGGAAAGCGGGGTTTGGCAGACAGCCGAAGCATCGACGATAAACCGCGACGCCCCACTTCGCCCTGTTGTTGGATCAGGACCAGCTGTCCCCAAGCTCCCACTATGCTATCTATTCTTGTGTGTTTATGCCCTCTGTTGAAGATTGTTGTCCTCCTGCCTGCTCTCTCGCTTGGTGTTGCCTTCTAGAATCCTTCTTTCGCGTCCTCCTACTTCGGTTCTGTTGGTGCTAGGCACCATGTCTGGTTCTATATACCTATAGTCTCCCCCCAGCCCTCAGCTTCGTCTCTTTATCTTGTCCGCATCCTCTCAGACTCGTATATGCTATATCTCAGTTGAATCTGTAAATCTTTTTGTTGCCTCATGCTGGGTTCCTATGTGGCTCTATGTTTCCATCTTTCGACCACCACCTCCATCCACCGCCTGGAGTCGGACTCAATCTGCAAAACACAATGCTCCAACCGCTTCGATTCGTCCGATTACTAAGTATAAGAGCTCGTACACAGATTCCGCAGACATTGTCATACGTTGAAGGGGCGATAATCCTTCTTCGCGGAGGGGGCGACAGGGGACCAATCTGTCTGCAAACTGTAGTATTTTGTGGCATCGATCGTAGCATGCCTGGTGTCTGGTGCTTTCTCTATGCAGGAGGTGATACCGTTCTGTCGGGCTTGTCGTCGTTGTTGTCGCGGGACGTTGCAAACTTTGTCGGGGGTGATAGGCGACCTATAACCTATCGGTGGCTGTAGTATTGATGTTTGTTTGGGCTTGGTCGTTGTGCTCACGTGATAGCCCGTGACTCAACCGCGGTGGTGTCGATGGTGTTGTCTATTGACGTGTCATACTTTGTGGCTTGCTCTCGAATTTTTCGTGGTCAGAGCCCGCCCGCGGCCACGAGCAGGCTCTTTGGGAGCAGAATCAATGCCGAGGATGACATTATGCCCAAAGTGACCTCTGAGAGCGCGAGCGGGCGTGGTTTGATCAATTTGATGCTGTTTTCAAAAATTTCGTTCTCGCTGTTGTTGATGTTTTTCCCCGCAGGGGCTCAGCGGTTATAGGGACGGCCGTCAGCCGTTACGTCGTAACAACCCCCACGGAACGGAAGAACTAGGATACAGGTCACGTGACGATAAGCAGGACCGACGGACGATAAGCGGTCCTGGGACAGGACCGACGGTGCCAAGGGCGGTCCATGGCGATGGACCGACGTCCTGGGTGTCGGTCCCCCAGGATCAGGAAGTGTTCAGCATGGAACCAGACTTGTATATAGTTGGGACTCGAGTCCTCTCGAGTCCTACCTTTCCTAGTTCTTCAGCAATCAACTTCGTGATTACCCTAACCGGTACTTTCAGCTATACCTAAGTGACGACTACTCTACGACTCTTGTTGAGGCCTTGACTGATCACCAAGACCTTTGAAGATCTACGATCTATTCGACCAGGACCACGGAACGACTGTTACTACTCTCAATCCCTGGCTTACTGTTAACACAAACCCACTGTCAGTTAGCTGGCCGTAACATGTAAGTCCTACTAAGTCTTAGATAAGACTAAATAGGATAAATAAGTAAAATAGAAGTATAATATACTTATACTTCTAACATATTTAAACCTTTATAAAAAATTAGATGGCTATAATTATACTTAACATAGTTTATATATATTTTCTTTTCTTAGTAAGTATAGTAGTTAGTTTAATATAGAATTTCGAAAAACGGCGTTTTTGGTGTAAATGGGGTGCCCAAATGTGGGGGGTGCCCAGAAGTGGGTGTGGGACGTTACTTGAAAAAGCAGCGGCTGCCGCATACCCATTTGATTAATTAAACTACAGATATGTAACCGAAAAGGGTCAACTACACCCCGGTTTGGCATAGTATTTCCAATTAACGGTTGTAATAGCTAATCGGATTTGTGATTTTCGAGTCGTTTCATTAGCCCAAAACCAGATTCCCCCGACTCCTTCAATGTGATCGTCCTGCGCGGTTGAAAAGGTTATCTTCGCTCTCTCAACATGGCACACCACTCGTAATGCGACTAGACATTCTCCCATCTCGGGGCGACGGACATTTTCGGTTCTCCGGCTAAGTTTTGTTAATTAAACAAGCAGTAGCCGGCGCTATTTGGCAGAAGGACCAGCCTTGGCCGCTTCAGCACTCAGATTGTCAGTTGTAGATGGTTATCTAGGCGGCTCCAGAACTCGAACTAGAATTGGCTTAGGAGAGGATTATGTGGCATTGGCTGGACGTAGCCAGCTTCACACGGAAGTCTGCTATCTAAGATAGGTAGGCAAAGGGGGCTATCGCCACAGCGTTGACATTGGCGAACTACAATCTTTCACAGTCGGTCTTCAGAACAGACTCAACTTCTCTTACTCGTATTGTGGCGATTCTGAAAAGAACGGCAACAGCGTTATTGCTATTCATGAACAACGATATCAGTAAGAGGCTCATCAACTGCTTTTAGGTGACTGACGCTTTGTCTCGGAATCCCCTAGACTTGTTACCATTTGCAACAGACCTATAAAATGAATTCCGTTCTTAAGAGAGTATCAGGGTTATAAGGTGATGTGTGGTAGCTCAAGTGCTGGCTGATGCCACTGCCAAAATGCAACGATACAGGGCAGCCAAAAAACGGATCTGAAGGGCAGTTTGGCTAGTTAAGCAGCAAAGTATTGGCGACTTTGTATGTCGCCGTTTCCCCCGGACGCAAATATATGTCTGTCACCCTAAAGGAATTAGTGGGAATCGTTACAAGATGGATGCAGAATGTTCAGCACATTAGACGGGAAGAAACACGATAGGAACGGAAGGTAAATTTATAGGAATGTATAGACACTATTCATCAAAGTATCACGTATTCGTTCATGACAATCAGTATTATATCTTTGTAACGCTTCTAGTCTTCCTGAACCTACGACGTCTTCCCCTTTGTGTTGACCTTCACCTGCTTAATCCCACATTCCCAGACACGCTTCCCCCATCCAAATCAACCATGGGAATAGCCTCAGGCACCCTCACCACGCTCACCGCCAAAATGTGTCACCAACTCTCGGTTGATGACTCCCCGGCAAACCACCCGACACCGGATCGGAGGAGGGGGCGTGTGTGTTTGCTTGTGTGTGCGTGTGAGTGGGCCTACACCGGTGGACCAATCTTTGCTCAGCAAGGCGTGGTGCCACGGGACCGGCCTTTCGCAACGGGTGCGCGTAGATGTCTCACTCTCGCCAAGTCACTTACACACACCCCAAATCGTAGCTCCTCAAATAATACGGGTTCTAATTTGGACCTTGGACTAAAAAGGCTGGGTCTGGACTTTGTAAAATCTAACCGGACAACATTTCGTCTCCCATTTGCCTAGCGTCGGACAAAGTCGCAACGACACCTCACCGAGGCTCACCGATACCGGACTCCAGGTGTACACGCCGAAGACCCCCTACACCTTTCGATCCCCACATAACAAGGACCATCCTCCCAACCAGTCAACATCCCCCATTCCTCACCCCCGCTGAGGGTGGAGTAGGCAAAATAGTGGATATGGGTAGCCCTATCCGTCCCCCGACAGCGCAGGCATCAACCTCGCCGAATCGCCAATGATGTTTCTCACAGGGGACTTCCTCTCCAACGACCCCCATCAGCCGATGGCAAGGATATACATACATACATTACATACATACAAAGCACGTCAAATGCGTCAAGATGCCAGTAAAAATCCATCCCCCTCCACCAGGCAACAACGCGCTCTGTGCCGTAGAACCCCGCGTCGCCCCGCGCCGTCGCTGCGCCAAATAAAGCCACTGGTGAATCCTATGAAAGACATATCGTGAGAACAAGCAAAGACCACACAAAGTTGGGGATGTCCGTCGTCCCCCCGGATGTCTTGAAGCATATCTTTCCTCTTCTGGAGACTTCCTATGAAGCCCTTCACATTCTGTAGGAGGTTGGAATAATCCCCAATCCATCCCTCGTAAAAACAACAAAACCAAGAGAACCTCCCCCCCTTCGCTTAAAGAAAATGGTGTCTTGACTCAGACCAGCGCAACCCCCCCCCCCCCCCCCCCCCTCCCTCTCCCCCCCTTCCTCCATCTTCAGCAGACATGAGACGACAAAGGACAGTATGTCATGGCTACTACTATTTTCGCAGACTCCTCGTCCGTTGTTGTCCCCCCCTTGCCGTGTGTCTCGGGGTTGGAGGGGACAAGGGACGTAGTGAGACATGCATGGGCTAGCGATCACAAGGTCGTTGTTCGCCTTACAATTTCACCGATTTTTGTCCACGCAAAACTTGGAATATTGCAAGAATACAGGTAGGTATTTTTTATTTAATCGAATCATCTTGTTTTTTTGCTTGTTTGTTTATGATTCTATCCTGAACTAACCCAGTCCAAATCCATTGTTGTGGTATCATCCGCCGCCGTTCTGACGACCCCTCCTATTCTGTTCCCTCCAATCCCCGTCCACTGTCTAAGCCAAAAACGCTTGCTATATAAAGTACATGTACAACAAAATTCAAATGCGTAAATCTCGCTTATCCAAAACATATGTCTTCAAATGTAATTGGGCCGTTTACTCCCAGCGGTAAAGTCCATCATCGTAGAGAACCCGGTGCCGACGGCTGCCGGGCCCAACTGTCGCCCTCCGCCGTGGCATCATGCGCTCCATCAAGCGACGGCGTTGCGCCTCTTCCTCCTCCTCGCGCTCGCGCTGCTCGCGCTCCCGGCGGTCAGCGGCACGACGCTCGTTAATCTCTAGACGGCGCACGGCGTCAATGAGTTCCTGGTCCGCAGTCAGGGGAACGTTGGCGTAACCAGTCGAGGAGCGTTTGAGTGGCGCCGGAGGGACAGGCACAGCGGGGCGGCGCGAAATCTTCTTGTTTTGCTCCTCAATGCGAGCACGCATGCGCTCCCGGCGAAGCTCCTCCTCAGCGCGCTCCCTCTCCTCACGATCCTTGCGCTCCTTCTCGCGACGTCGCCGGCGGCGCTCCTCGTCCTCGGCGCTGGAGTGGCTGTGTCGCGAGTCAGAGGAGTGGTGTCGGCGGTGGCCGTTGTCGATAACCTCAATCTCAACCTTAGGCCGCGGGCGCTCGTCAACGATGACCGGACGGAGGGACCCGCGAGGTACATGGCTGTAGCCAAACTGAGGGGCAGTGCCGCCGGCGTTGGGAGAAGGGGGCGCGGTATAAGGCATGGCAAACTGCTTGGGAGGTGTGCGCGGGGTCGGAGGAGAGTCGACAATCACAATGCGCTCGTTGCGTGAGCGGTTCTTGCGGTTCAAGTCGAGAACCTTCTGGCCATTGACATAGACACCAGAAGGCCGGTGGTTTCGCTCGCTCGAGCTCGATTCCCTCCGAGCACGAGAAGACTCAGCAGAAGGATTGCGCGGTGAGCTCATAGGCGGCGTAGGCGGCATCTGCTGAGGGTAAGGGTATGAGGTCGACGGCTGGGCAGTAGGGTAGCCAACAGCACGAGGTGGGTGATTGTAGACGACGGGATTGGTGCAGAGGCGGCCGTTGCGGGAGTGAGAGCAGAATGTTGGGTTCTGGTATTCGCTCCTGCGGCCGTCTGGGTAGACGTCGGTGTATACGTCGGTGGTGCACATAGTGTCTTGTGTAGTTGGTTGAGTGCGCGGCGTGCGCGAGGGTGGTGGTGATGGTTGGACGACCTCCGGAGCGAAGTGAACTCGTTTCGCGGGCGTGGTCAACGTAGAAATGGTTTGGGGTTCCTGCCGAGTGTTGGCTGGTCGACGGGACTTGTGCTTTAGCACGATGGTGTTGTCGAGGTAGAAAGCTTCCGGCGCACGGGTGGAGGACAGTGTGTCGGTAGTGATGTGACGCTTGGAAGAAGCCAATGTGTTGTTGTGCCAAAGTGTGGTAGGTAGTAGTAGATCTAGGTTGTTAATGTGTAAGTTGGTTGGTCCTCCAAGATGGCAGCCAAGTGGGAGTTGGGATGTTATATACCAGATGTTGAGGGTTTGGATGTGAGTCCAGATGTTGAAGGGTGTAAAACGTATCTGCCTAAGTATAGCTGTGTGGAACAACAGGGTGTGTGGATAGATTGAGGATGTTCCTTGTTTGTGTGCGGGATGTCTTTGCAAAGTGTAAAATGTCCAAGTGGGGATGCTGGGGAAAATAGGACGGCGTGATCTCAAGCGATACCGCGTCTGAATTAAATATCGTTAAGTGTGAGAAAGGCGCGTCCCAAGACAAAGGTGGGAGGGAGACTGTAGGTAGCAGGGGTCGGGTACGCAGCAAAAGCGGCAGTGACAGCAGCAGCCGGAGGTATTCTCTGCGTCCTCAAGTAAGTACAGGGTAAAGTGCTGCCAGCTACAGATGCATGATGGGTGATATGGAATGGTGGAGATGAGGCCTTGTAGGACTTGTGAGATGCATTGCGCCTACGCTGCATGCCACCCCTTGAGCCTTTGACCCCTGCCACGCTTCTGCCTGAATTGGTTCTACTAGTGACCGATGAGTCTTCGCTAGGCCTGTTTGGTGCGTGGAGGGGGTCTTAGTTGGGGAAGGGGAGTCGCTGGAGCCCTGAAGTGCCAGCCCGCACCGAAGGCTCTTGAGAGGGCGCTCCCCTGAGGGCGACCTGTACATGTCTCGCTCGCACTCTGCGTCGCTGCGAAATACTTGAGCTCGCTGTTCACAGCCTCTTAGCTGGGAGGCCTAGGGGCGGAGTGCGGGCCACTTGACTTGGGTGGGTTGTGCAAGAGGGGTGGCCTTAGGCTGCCAATGAAGAAGGATGGAGGGAGCCAAGGGGCTTTGGGACTGGTCGATGAGCTTTCTAGATGTCCCGCATGATGCGCCGTGTGAGTCCTCATTTTGGGGGCTTGCATATGGGGGACAAGTTGTTTCTGCCGAGAAACGTCTCGCTTTGGAGTTGTTCTGGCGTTTTTTCTGTTTCTGGTTGTGATGGTTCACCGTGGAATGGAGAAAGAACCGACTGGCTGGACGCCGGCGTCCTCTAGAGTCCTTTAGCGCGGGCCTGCTTTGGACCGGCCGCCGTCAAGGTGAAGAGGCACCGGACTCGGCGTGGTATGTTAGAGGACGTCGAAGGCGGCGCCAGTGATGGTGGTGGTGTTGGTGATGCCCTGTCGCAGCCTTCTCTGATAGATGAGAAGGCCAGGTCCCAATCCTAACTGAAAAAAGGCGAAACAATATTTTCCGTGATATGATGCTATTTTTTGCACTGCCTTCAATGCCCATCATGCCACACCCATGGCCATCTAATCCCCGTCCCTTCATTTATTCGACCCGATGGAAAGGCACGGGCCAAAGCCAAGCACGAACGAACAGAGACCGTGCCAACGACAGCGGCAATCGAAACACAATAGAGTGACATTTAGGGCCTGTCTTCGCGGTTGACATAGATTGATCGATATGGATGAATCAGTCGGGCAAGCGACAGCCGCCATGTCGCGCGAGTCGCGACAGACCCATTGTAGAAGGGGTCGAGTCGAGGTTCTATCCAATCGAACTAGCATTCGAGTCTCGGAATAATCCATACGTCCCCTTGGACAGAGACTGAGTCACCGCGGCGTCTCAGAAGGCCTCATGCAAGCTCTTAGTCCGTCCCTGTCTAACGTCACAATACATTCTCCCTGAATGGTCGTAATGGCCATCTCCACCTCGTGGACCTGCAGCGGCTTGCAGCATGGCACGACGGAGGCAATCGATCGTTGACAGCCCAGCGTAGCGAATGGCCAAACACTTGTGGATAGCATACCAGTAGTAGACAGGCTCGGGTACTCTCGCCGTCGCTGTCGCCGACGGGCTTTTCACTGGTGGCTGGTCGAAGGATTGCAAGCTGCAAGGGGAGCCACACGCCACTGCATCACAGTCAAGATTGAGTGCGAAAAATTCGTCCGACCAAACCAGTAGCGAAGCGAGGACAGAGAATCGAAAGCGAAAAACTGTTAGTGTGCGGGTGGGTGGGCTGTGCACATCTCTAACGAAAAAGTTCGAGCTGCTCAGCCACCGTAGCCTGCTTATTGGTGGCCCTGTTTCGTGCAGGCGGGAAGCAATCGAAGCTTAGAATTTCATCATCGTGATTGCTTGGTTCGGCTCATGACGAGCAGAGCGGGGTGCATAGCCGTGACTGTGCGTGTTTCCATACGGGTTGATCCCATTGCATCGCATCGCATCGCATCTCATCGCAGCGGAATGTTGTTGTGGTTGTGGTTGAGGTGGTGTTGTGGGCAGATTTTGGGTTCGTTCTTTCCGAGAGTGACACACACAGACTCCAGTGACAAACAACGGGGAAGGCACTATCGATTGAGAAGCCCCACACCGCTCTTCCCCTCCCCCCACCTGCTCCTCTATCTTGCGGTACGTACCATTGAGAGGTCTACTTCTTATTCACAACTGGCAACCACCGCCAGGCAACCGTCGCCGCTCCTTCTGTCAGTATACGAATGAGAGAAAGCATTTGTGGCATTGAGAAGTCCAGACCCAATTTGGCTTGATGACTAACCTCCTTCCAAGGTCACCCGATGTGGCTCACCTTTGATTTCTGCCTGGTCCGGCACACCAAAACACCAAAAGAAAGATATCCACAAGAGAGTCCTAGACGGAGTCCTCCTATCTACACTCCTTTCTACTGTGTCTCCGAAGGACCATGCATTACGCTTGACTCTCCGATAATCATGCCGCAAAAAACGATCCGTCCCTCTCACCACCTCGTCCTACCTGCCAGAACGATTTTTATTGGCCCATGGCCGCCATCTCTTGAAGGCTCCCACCACACCAGACGCGTCAACACCTCAGGACACCCCCTTCATCTTCAACCTTGTCGCTTGTCTTTTCCACTGACAGCCATCCTTCTAGCGGCCGTTTGCCACCCGTCATCCCATCAATAGACGCAGGTCACAGACCGTTGCACCTCTGAGTCGGCAATCCTTTCCACTTCTCTCATGTGAAGCTAAATGAAGGGTGTCTGTCCTACGCCTACCATGTTGCCACCTTGGCACCAAGTTGCTGCTGGAAGAGTTCTCGACCGCGGCAGCTGAGCAAATGAACACAAGGCTGTAGGATCTTGTACCCTGACGATATTCATTGCGAATAAGCCCTGGGCCATGTGTGTGCAACCAAAAATGCTCTATCGCCTCCCCGGCCCCCAAACTTAGGACCATTTCTACCTGCTGGTCGGAGGCCGCTCGCCGCACCAGGGCAGGGAAAAAAGAAAAAAAAGAAAGAAAACCATTATGCGTCAATTTTCGTTGATAGCGACGCGTCATGAACAATCACTTCCTCCTTGTTTCCAGGTTGCCATATTCCCTCCCTCAGCCGCGCGGAAGAGTCTGGACATGACCAGAATTGGTGGCGTCTTGTCGCTTATAGTAATTGCTCAGCCTTACGAGGCAGAATCGCTCCCTTGATTCGGCGCCACTCCTGAAAATCTCAACCAGCTCTTTTACCAGAGTTGAGATTGATTTTCATCTGCGTAGAGGGTTGCCTCCGAACTAGGCCACTGCTTGGGACTTGGCCGTGATGCGAGCTTTTTTCCAGAGGAGGAGCCCCCAACAATTTTTGAAAAATGAAACTGGTTTGTTTTTACTTCCATATCCGTTTCCCATGGCATAGACCAATCTCGTAAACCGTATGACGCTATTTGCCATGTTTTCCTCACATTGGATATGCTTCTTGACATTTGCCGGACCAGGAAACCTCATTACGGCGGCCACGTGCTCATCTGGATAACTGAATAAAGATTGAAACGGAAATACACTACTAATTCAACTTATCAAACCATACTCTTTCTATACTTTGCAAGTTACATGTGACTCTGACTCTTACATACACTCAGCTCAACTGCGCACCCAGGCTGCCTTTTGTTCTTCAACGCAAAATCAAAACACTCCATGCTCACGCCTCAACTGCGGCACTAGCCTTGGTAGGTATGCCCCTCCGCCTCTTCGCATTCACTCTTCCTTTCTACCCCAGCAATGGTACTGTCTCTCTGGGGGTGAAATTTCAGACTTCGTCTGTCCGTCCCTGTCTTGGCTGGTCACCCCCTCCGTTCGCTTTTTGTAATGGCTGACATTTAGAAACCTGCGTCTCTCTCCTCAGGTGTTGCCTGCTTGGTAATCGACTGCCTAGGTACGAGGTTCCAGGTACCATCAGCCCGCTTTTGTCGGGGGTTTGTCTTGGTCGATTCCACTTCAGCTCGCTTCTCATGATGATCCGTGTCCAAGACACCCGCTGCTTTGTCCTCGGGTGTTGCCTGCTTGGTGATTGACGCTCTGGGGACGAGATTCCAGGTACCATCAGCTCGCTTTTGTCGGGGATTAGTCTTAGTCAATTCCTCTCCAGCTCGCTTTTCATGCAGTTTTGCGTCCATAACATCCGCTGCTCCGTTGTCAGGTGTCGCCTGCTTGGTAATTGACGCTCTGGGGACGAGGTTCCAGGTACCATCAGCCCGCTTTTGTCGGGGGTTGGCCTTGGTCGGTGCCTCCTCGAATCGCTTTTCAAGCGGCTCTGCGCCCAAGGCATCCACGGCTCTCTTCTTCGGATTTATCACAGGCTGAGTAACTGACTGTCTGGGTACGAGGTTCCAGGTTCCGTCAGCCCGCTTTTTCCGGGGGTTGACCTTAGTCGGACCCTCTTCAGCTCGCTTTTCATGATGATCCGTGTCCAAGATATCCGCTGCAATATCCTCAGGTGTAGCCTGCTTCGTGATTGACTGTCTGGGGACGAGGTTCCAGGTACCATCAGCCCGCTTTTGTCGGGGATTCGTCTTAGTTGCTTCCAGATCGCGTTCTTTCAAAGGCGCATCTTTGGACTGCTCTCTGGTTTGTAGGTTCCATGAACCCGCATCTCGCTTCACTTGTATGTTTGTCTTTGCATTGGCCGTGTGGTCCTAGAGGCATATTCCAGTTAGTAATCTTAGCCTCCAATGACAAAGATCAGCAAGAATTCTTCAACTTACAGCCGCAACGGCGCCAGCGCAGGCAAGAACAACTAAAGTCGAAATAAGCTTCATTTTTGATATGAAAATAAATAAACTTTGATCTGATGTGAGTTGCCAGTTTAGATTTTGTAAAAAATACTCGAAAATATCGCTTCGTACCTAGGTGAGGATGGGGGTCAAATAGTCGTGGCTTAATAGCCAGGGGTCGGGTTGGCCGCCGATCTATATGCAGTGGAGACAGCCATCTAGTTTCACGCTGCTTTGGCCGGTTTCGTTATGATCCAGTGGGTTGACTATCAAATTGCACATGGTGCAATATAGAATCGAGACGTCGATACCTAGTAAAGTCTCGGCACACGCGGCTCGTGATGCCTGAGGTGCGGTATCTCCCATGAGGCTGCAGGTTGCAGATAACGGAGTGCCCGGGAGTATCCTGGCTTCAGCGTAGTTATTTTGTTGATATTCGGCGAAAGCTTCCCTTGCAAGTGCCACTAAGCCAGAGCTGACTGGCTCATGACCGTTTTACCCAACAGACCCATCGTTATATCCCTTGCCAGATGGATAATGATGTGGGCGAGAACCGGCACAGAACGCTCAGAATGGGAAAAGTGGTGTTGTTGGTTGGAAGAACTAACTAACTGGCTAGAGGGCTGTGGAGGCTGGCTAAGACCAGTGGTGGCGGCCGTCAGCCCACGTGACGGGCCGGCGAGGCCTGCCACCCACACCCCCTCTCAGACTCCTCAGCGAAAAAGCAGTAGAATAATAGGAAATACAGGAAAAGTCCCAAATCCTCCAAATCCGAGGAGTTCTCAACTATTAGAAAACTCGGTCAATTACCGGTTAAACCTAGCCAATAGGAGGCTGTGAAATCCTCCGAATCCCGAAGTCTCAATATCAATAGTCCTATAGTCTCAAAATCCCCCTCTCAATCCAATCCCTCCGCCATGCCCAACAAACGAACGAATTCCTTGTGTTTAACCGCAACTAGTAGCTTCGTAAGTCTATCGGCAGCTATATCAACGCCCTTAATAAGCTGGAGTTTGATGCTTTTCGCAGTATAAACCTTCTATATAATTTATTTATATCGGACGTCGATATAGTAGGTTTATGCCTTGTTAAGTAGGTTTATAACGTTATCATAGCCGTTAGTACTATTAGTAAATATAATAGTAGGCATAGTAATAGGTTTGCTAAGTAGTTAGGAAAGGCAACGTCTAATCTACTTTATAATAATTATTATAAGTATAAGATTAATAAATTTAGCCTCCGTAATGCTTAAAGTTACGAAAGTCTATTTCTTTAACTTCTAAGCAATCGGCATACTAGCAAGGAAGACGACGTAACTACCTACGAGACTTATAATAGCTTATTATTAGCGAAAGAGGTATTTATAATAGCGTAAAGCCTTAACTTATTAATCGTAAGGATGCCTCTAAGTATAATAACGAGATAAACGGTACCTTTAAGGTATCGGAATAAGTACTTAATAGTACGAAGATAGGCCTTAGAAAGCCTTGAATTCGCTTGTAATAATTTACTAACGGTATAGGCTATGTCAACGCGAGTTCTAGCTACTAAGAAGTTAAGGTAGCTAGTCTATTCGATATAAAGTTGTTATTCGTTAAGCAAGTACTCGTTCTTATCCTAGGTAATAGGCAGATCGTTAGTAGTCGCTATAAGCGTCTTGACAATACTTAAACTATTAAAGTCGAATCGTTAAAGCACTGCTTTTGCATACTTAGCTTAGGAAACGAAAATCTTACTAGCAGCCCTGTCGCGTTCAATCTAGAAACCGAGAAAATCGGTAGCCTTGCCGAGGTTTTTAAGAGAACAGACCTTCTCGAAGAGACGATAAACTTCTATTATAACTTGCTTATTAGGAGTAGCGATAGCGTTATCGTCGACGTATATAAGAACGTATGCTTTAATCTTATAATTAACGAAGAGATAAACCTCCTTATTAATAATAGTAAAGCTAATTCGTTTTATTTTACCTTTAATAAGTCGAAACTACTAAAATAGTAATTTTCTTAATCTATAAAGTACTTTATAAAGTAGCTAAACCTTATTATCTATAGTAGCATAGCTAGTAGGAGGCTAGACGTATACCTTAACCCCTTCTAGAATCGAGGCGGCTAGGAAAGTAGTATCGAAATTATATACTTCGTATTTAAGATCGAGAAGTATAATAACTACGAAGAAAAGGCAGGTTACGGTAGTAGAAGCAACTATAGCATAAACCTTTTATAATAACTAGTTACCTTTCTTATAGTTTTTATAAACTATATATCAAGCCTTATAACGTACGATTTCGTTATTTTTATTAGTTTTAATATTATATACCTATTTGCTAGGCAAGACTTTAGCATTACGTAGTAAGTAAACGACTTCGTAAACCCCTTTTTTCGTAAATTAAGTTATCTCTCGTTTGAAGGCTTATTCCTACTAAAGCTATTATAAGCTCTTCTATGCCTTACGGTAAGACTTCGGGATTACTATGCCGTTAAGTAAGACTTTCGAAAAGGTAGTAGTAGAAAGCATACTAAGAGAAAATTAATAAGAAGTTAGTAAAGCTAGAATATTAGTAGATAGGAAGGTCTTTTTAGCATAAGAGCGTATGCTACTAGCGGCTTAGTAGTAACTAGGTAGTCGCTAGGCTAAGGCGTAGCAAGGTCGAGAGGACTTTACTAGTTGACTCGTTACTTCCTTAATAATTGTAGAAAGGGAATCAAGGTCTTAGTAATCAGTTTCTATTATTTTTATAGAAGTAACGAATTCGTTATTATTTAATTCGTTAGTAATACTATTATAAGGTATAGTAGTAGTCTCTAATAGGTTCTCTAGTAGCGGAGATATAAGATATATATTAGTAGGTATTATCGCTTTTTTAACGATAGTCTTATCTAGTTTAGGATTACTAGTTACGGGTTTTTTACTTTTAATAGGCTTCTAATAGATAGTATACTAGATAATAATATCTAGTTTAATAAACGTAGTATTATGTTTAATTTTATTAATATTAGGTATGCTAGTAGTTAGAAGCAATACTATCTTATACGGTTCCTTACGAAATCGAATATCTCTATAGCGAATAACCTCCTTTCGATTAGGTAGGTAAACGTAGTAAATATAGCTACGAAGAGAACCGTAACCGACGAGGAATCCCTTAATTGCTTATAGTTCTATCTTAGCAAAGCGTATAGGGCGTCGAGGGCCTTTCTTATATACGTAGGCAGTATAGCTAAACGTTCGGAGATGTTTAATATAGGGAGCCTTACGTTTAGCAGCTAAGTTTAGCTCTCTCGCTATAATCTCGTAAAGGCTTAAGTTACCCTTAGAGGGTATAGGCAAGAGGTTAAGAATCTAAGTTACTAAATCGATACTATAATCCTATAGTTCCTCTAGAAGGGATATATTAATTAGCTATATCTAGGCGCCTTCGACGATAGTACGACTAGCATGCTTAATAATACTATTTATAAAAGGCATATAAGCAATAGTCGTATTATATAAATACCCTTAAAGTAAGGGTTGTTAAAACCTTGATTAACGTCCCACACCCACTTCTGGGCACCCCCCACATTTGGGCACCCCATTTACACCAAAAACGCCGTTTTTCGAAATTCTATATTAAACTAACTACTATACTTACTAAGAAAAGAAAATATATATAAACTATGTTAAGTATAATTATAGCCATCTAATTTTTTATAAAGGTTTAAATATAATAATAGTTATAATATAGAAGTTTAAAACTAAAAGCTTTAAAATGTTAGTAGATACTAGTAACTTACTAGTATTCCTTAACATTAGAAAAATATATTTTCGCTCATATATACTTATTTAAAAAATCTAGGAAATTAATATTTATACTTATTAAAAGTATATAATTATATCTAAAAGAGATTTAAAAGTATTACTTTAGTAAATATAGTATAATTAAGGGTTAAAATTCTATAATAGAAACTTTTCTTAAGGGAAATTTTAAAATATTATTCTAAGCTTAAAGAATTTTTTACTAAGTATAAGAATATATAAATCTACTATATCTTACTTAAAAATTCTAATCATATTAGTTAAATATCTCTACCTATTTTATATATTAAGATATAGGCTAGGTAAATTAGTATTATAAATGTTAAACCTTGAATTTATAATACTTATTATCAATAATACTAGTATATAGCTACTTAAGTATTATAATTAAGTCTTAATCTATTTAACATATATTTATTCTCTTTAATAAGTAAAGTATTTAGTTTAATATAGAATTTCGAAAAACGGCGTTTTTGGTGTAAATGGGGTGCCCAAATGTGGGGGGTGCCCAGAAGTGGGTGTGGGACGTTAGCTTAGGAGTATTATTAAAAACCTAAACCTTAGGCTTAAGGCTAGTAAGACTATAGAATTTAGTATCCTATTTCTTAATAGCTACTAAGATAGTAGCAAACTTATAGTTAGGTAGAAAAACAACCTAGTAGTAACTACTATACTTATCTATAAGGTATAAAACCTAACGGTTCCCTTTTATTAATAAGGGAAGAATACTAACGAGATTAAGGTAAATTTTATTACTAATACTTATAAGTAGAAGTAGTTAGTCTCGACTAATCCGTTTAGTAGATTTGCTAAGATAGCAAGACTTATAGAAGAAAGCGTTAATTTCTAACGTTATAAACCGAATGCTAACACGGTAGCAAGCCTTTATAATACGTAATAGGTAGGCGTAAACTAGCCGGCGGTATATTAGTTTAAGAGACGGTCGCTAGGTAGCCTAGAAGGCGGCAAGGCTGATAGCAATATCTCGAAGGCACGTAATTTCTAGTATCATAAGTCTTAACGACGTAGACGTTAGAAACCTAATAAACTTTAGCAAGGGAAGTATGCTATGTTACGTATATAAGGCTTAAGGTCTGCTAATTATATTCTACGTAATTACGACGAAGTTTTCTAGGGCTTAGTAAGTTAGCTAGGCTAGAAGGGTTATACTTAACGTTATAAAGTATCTAATCGTAAATAACGTTAGGGTTAGTAAGGTCTTAGGTCTAGAAGAAGACGGTACCTATGCTAAGTAACTAGACTAAAGCGCTAGAGGCAAAAGTAGAAGGTATTAAATCGCTCTTTTTAACATACTTAATAAAATATCGCAAGTTATTAAAAGTTAAAATAGTATAACTAGAATCGAGAACGATATCGTCTTAGGTAATAAGGTTATTATAAGTAATAGTAAAAACTACTAGGCTAGCGATAAAGGCAAGGGCAGACTAACCTAAGATAGTAGGTAACGCTTTAATAATAGTCTAGCAGGTACTATTAATGTCACAGTTCTATTAGACACAACAGTAGGGATGCCACAGTTATAGGGCTGCCAGTGTGGCTGCCAGTGGGGCTGCCACACGTGGGGCGATACTGTCGCCCTAGACCGCCCTATAGGTATATTAGACCACCTGTTCGCTAGACCTAGGATAGACCTAACCTAATGGACAACAATGACTAGAACGACTTATTAACTGTGACAAGTGGTAGCACGACCTACTTTGCGATCCCTCGCGACCTCATAGTTAATTTTTCAGCATAGGCAAATAAGCTACTTTTTTCAATCCGTTAAGAAATACTAGACCGTGGCTAATCCGCCTGCACCAGGCTAATTCTGCTGCTAACGCTGCTGCTAACGCCGACGCCGCCAATATGCGCGCACTAGCTATACTATTCGCCTCCCCTCAAGACCCTACGCGAGACCATCACCCCTCGCACCGTCAACGCCGTTATCCCTCTACGCCTACGCCAGCGTGGGACCCAACGGTATGGCCGTCAATTGACGACCTCGAGGCTATCCAGACCCGCCAACAGCGCCCAGAGCCCTGCCGGAAGTATAGCGCTAGATTCCCCAGCAAGAACGCTCTCTTCCGCCACGTCTATGCCAATAGCTGTGGAAGCCAGTTTCGCTGTCGCATCTGCTATAGCGATTTCACATCTCGCAACGCCCTATTCCGACACCTACAACAAGGCTGCCAGCCCTCAGCCTGTAAGGCTAGAATCCCACAGCAGGAGACTGCTAAGACTACTGCCGAGACTGCCGAGACTACTGCCGAGACTGCCGAGACTACTGCCGAGACTACTGCCGAGACTACTGCCGAGACTACCGAGACTACTGCCGAGACTGCCGGCCAGACCATAGAAGTTATAGAACGGGCTTCTGCGCCGTTTCTACAGACCCTCTTCAACGCCGCTAAGCATACCCATATCTATACCGAAATTAGCCTCTGTATGACTATGCTACAGTCCCAACGACAACAACAGCAACTGCTTTTCCTACCAGACCCAGGGAGAAGATTCGCAGCCATAACAAACATTCAGCAACAATACAGAGTATTCTAGCCCGACGCCGACAGTAAGTACGGCAGGGAGCCTATATTCTATGACTAACAGACACTATGCTACCGAGACGTAGATCTATGGCTCTCAGCAATTAGAAGGAAAATCGTTAATCCATACGCTCGAGACGAAGTCCTCCGAGAATGGCAGAGCCTACTCAGAGGTAAAGCACTCAGCTGGTGGGAATATCACCTTAGGCCCGTAGAAAGGAACCGGTATAGGGCCCTAGGATGGTACGGCCTACAGAAGGGACTAAGTGCCCGCTTTAGGCCAACCCAGCTAGTTAATTACAGCCAGCCAGCCAGCCAGCCAGACAGTTACGCCCAGCCAGACAGTTACGCCCAGCTAGTTAATTACAGCCAGCCAGCCAGCCAGCCAGACAGTTACGCCCAGCCAGACAGTTACACCCAGCTAGTTAATTACAGCCAGCCTTAGGCATACCCCCCTATTACGCCTAGCACTAATAGAGGCCTAAGGAAGTCATGTTATTAAGCCGTTTAAAGTCATGTTTAGGCAGCCGAAACGATCGGGACGATCGTCTTTTTCGGGACGGGCACCTGTCACAGTTCTATTAGACACAACAGTAGGGATGCCACAGTTATGGGGCTGCCAGTGTGGCTGCCAGTGGGGCTGCCACACGTGGGGCGATACTGTCGCCCTAGACCGCCCTATAGGTATATTAGACCACCTGTTCGCTAGACCTAGGATAGACCTAACCTAATGGACAACAATGACTAGAACGACTTATTAACTATGATAATTAACAAAAGTAAGCTAATCCTAGCAGTAGCGATCGCTATATATATACTTTCTCGCTTTTTTAATCAACTTATCCCGGTTAACATAGTATAGAGGGATAAGATTAAGGTAGGCGACATAGTACTTCGTAGTCTCGTAATTATAGTTATAATAGTCGTACTTCTTCTTTTCCTTAGAGGTAGTAATAGTAAAGGTAACGGTACGATAGTAGTACGGCTAGAGAGGCAAGATGTTACGGCTAGCTAGTGATAATAGGGTTTCTGCTAACAGAAGTTAAGGCTACGATACTAACAATAGGTCTTGCGTCGTATATAGGTATATCGTACTAGTAGATCGAGGGTTAGGGTAAGGTGATTAGTCTTATACTAGGTAACGAGGTATAGTAATATTATAAACTATAAGCTAAGCTAAAAGTCATCGAGGATAAATTATAAGTTGATTGCTAAAGAACTATCTAAAAGTCTTTAAGCAGGTGCTTAGTCTTAGTCTATATATATAAGTCTTAAGTAAGTATTCTAGGTAGCTTTAGTAAGCGCTTACCCTGCTTATCGTAAGCGCTTACTTATCTTAGCGTAAGCGCTTACTAATTCCTTATTAATACTTACCTTCTTATTATTACGTAACCGTATATATAGTTCTTCTATTCCGGTAGTAACTTATTATTTCCTATATATCTTATATATATCTTATATAGCGCTAGCCTTAAGTTAACTTTAATTCTATTAGCATCGTAAAGTCGGACTATCCCCCAAGGTCCTTATCTTAGGCTATAAGTAGGTATATTAATCCTAGGTTAGGGATCCTTAAATATACTTCCTTTAATAATGCTAATACTATGTTAGGTCGCGTTAAAAAATCGAACTCTCTAGCTAAGGTAGCCTTCGTCGTTTACTTAACGTAGAAGGTCTAGATCGTTATTATAAGTTTATAGCTTATAGTTTTGGTAATATAAGATGTTATAGATATAAGGTAGAGTAAGTAGTAGTCGTAGTAGCGTTCTTACGTGCTATTAGTTCGCTATCTATACTTATAAGTCTTCCTTCTTACTTATATACGTATTTTACTACCCTTAGTAAACCTTATTAGATAAGAGTCGTCTTAGCGTAGATAGCAGTCTAGAAAAATAGGCTTTATAAAAGTGTAAAGTAGCGTATAAGTAGTAAATAAAAAGTCGTATAGTAAAATAATAGAAAAGTGTTAGTATTAGTTAGGACGTACTATAACTTCTCTAAGGCTCCTAAGCTATCCGGGCTTCTATAGTAATAGGTTTATAGGTATTAAATAGACTTAATTAAAGGATACGGTATTTAAAGAGATTTCGTAGCTTAGGTTACCGTTAGCTTTTTTTAACTAATTTTAGGTTTACTATCCCGTATTATTCCGTGGTAGTTATATAGGTATATTATTTTTTCTTCCTAATATCTTTATATAGTTTTTCTAAAGTATTTTTAAGTATTTTGCTAGTTCTTATAAATTATCTTTATATCTATAGCCTTTCTATTTAATAAAGTATTTTAGTAATAGTCTTTTATATATAATAGTCTAGAACTTTCTCGACTTTATACTTAGTATCGTTAATATCTACTTCGATATAATTACTTATATATAAACCTTTTATACTAGTTTAAGAAGTAGAAGTAAGATATAGAAGACTAAGTAATATTTTATAATTTCTAATAGTTTTAACTTATAATTAACTTTAGAAATTTCTTAGTAATTTCGAAAGGTTTAGTTTCTTAAAGTCGAGTTTATTACTAAGTTGTTTCGTTTTAATATTAGTCTAAGGAGGTAGGCGCTATCTCCCTCTTTAAAAGATAGTCTTTTATCCTTAAACAGTCTACGTATTTTTTTATTCGTTATCGTATAAATTCTAAGTCTTTTAGTAGGTTTTCTTAGATTTTCTTAAGTTTCTTAAATCTATAATAGCTTTTATCGCTACTAAACCTTATCAAGGTTCTCTATATATAGTAAGGTTAAATCTATAGTTAAGAAAGAAAGGTAATTCTTAAGTACTTTCTCCTACTATGCTATTATATACGAATTATGCTATAGGTAGTAACTTAACCTAATTATCTTGTTATAGTTAATATAGTATTTAAAATATATTTCTAAAATCTAATTAATTCTTTTTATTTATCTATTGGTTTATAAATAGAAAGTAATACTAAGTTTATACTTTACTCCTAGTTATAAGATTAAAGATCTCTAAAACTTAGATATAAAGATAGATCCTTTATTAGATACGATTTCCTATAATAATCTATATTAGCTAACGATAATTCTAAAGAAGGTATATACTAAATCTTCGGCTATGCTTAATTCTAAGTAAGGTACGAATAAGCATATTAGTAGCTTATTTAATTATAAAGGTTTAAATAAAGGCAAGTATATAGCTATAAGAGGGTATTAATAATAGCTATAATTCTCTATATAGTTTATATCTATTAGGCTTGCTTTAATATAGACTTTATAATCCTTAATTACTTCGGCTATATTCTTATAAGTAACTTATTTATTATAATATTATCTAATTCTCTTCTAGGTTTTAGTAATACCTTAGTAGCTTGTTACGGCCAGCTATCTGACAGTAGGGTTCTGCTAACAGAAGGTGCAGTAAGAGACTAACACTGGTTCGTAGAGGTCGTTCTGGTAGATCGTAGGGTTAGGGTAAGGTGATCAGTCTTACACTATGGTAACGAGGTTCTTAGTATTCACAATACTGAGAGGTAAGCTGAAAGTCATTCGAGGATGAATCACAAGTTGATTGCTGAAGAACTATCTAGAGGGCTTGAGCAGGTACTCAAGTCCTGGTCTATATAGGAGTCTATCTACACGTATTGTCTGTAGTCGTTGGAGATCATATTGATCGAACATGATCCGTTGGCCCCCAACTCTTCTTGGATCATTCTGACCTAGAATGATTCATCACGTGACTTGTTCCGTTCTATAGTTCTTCCGTTCCGAGAGGTTACCTTTTGTTCCCGTGGCCCTGCATACAAAGTCCTGTCATAACCGCCCAACCGAGTGGGTCCTGTTAGGTGTATCTAACGGGTCGTAACATCAGGTCTCCCCTCGATGGTCTTGTCCTCAAGGCCAACATAAGTAGGTCGTGGCTTCCCAGGTTGGGGAGTCGTCAATCGTGCTTCCTTGTTTATTCATGATGCTGACATCATGTCAGGTCGCGTTCAAAAATCCAAATCAAAGAACCCTGTGGCTTATAAGGAACTTAGCCAGCTTGTCGATTTGTTCGGGTTCATCATGCCTGTCCCTTGTTCCGGTTGCGCGGCTGCCGGTGTCGACTGCGTCGTTTCCGAAGTTAATTCTTCTCGTTGTTCGCGTTGCGTTGCCGATAAGCATTCTTGCGACATTCACGGTCCTTCCGCGGCTTCCCTCATTCGGGTTCGGCAACAGAAAATAAAAATTGATGATGAGCTTGAGAAAGCTGAAGAAGAGCAGTTAGCTCTTATGGCGAAGATTCGTCGTTTACGAAGGCGTCGCAAGGACATCAATCGTGAGGCGACTGATCTCATTCGATCTGGTTTGCGGCGTGTGGAGGAGGTTGAGAATGAGTATCGTTCCGAGGTTCTTGGTTTGCAGAGTGCTAGCTCGGAAACTGTGGGTGTACTTCATTCCCTGGGTGCTATTGGCGTCGTGGATTAGTCTGGCGTCGGTTTGGACGACTAGGGTCCAGAGACGTCCTCTAGTGCCAGTATTGTTAGAGTTCTTCCTGAGCGTGTTCCAGGTTCTTAGCTGGTTCCTACGAATCGTCTTCGTGTCCATAGTTTTTCTACTTAATGAAGTATTCTATTATTTCGTTATTCCTCCGGTGGTCTAGAATACGTTCTACTTCGTATTCGGTATCATCTGTTTCCACAATGATGCAGTCTTCGGTGTATGTACCGTCCGGTACTGGTTCTAATAATGAGACGTGAAAGACTGGGTGATATTTCATTGTTTCCGGTAGTTTCAACTCGTAGTTGACTTTGGAAATTTTCTTCGTGATTTCGAAAGGTCCTAGTTTTTTGAAGTCGAGTTTGTCGCTAGGTCGTTTCGTTTTGATGTTTCGCCGTATGAGGTAGGCGCTACCTCCCTCTTTTAGGGGTGGGCCTCTTACCCTATGTCGGTCGGCGTGTTTCTTCATTCTTTGCCGTACGAATTCGAGTTCTTGGGGTAGTTTTTGTTGGATTTCCTTAAGTTTCTTGATGTCTGCTACTGCTTTTATCGCGGCAGAGCCGGTTCGGGGT